CTTACCCACGAAAGCTTATGCTCCCAATACTTCTGTTAGTCTCAAAGGTGCCACAGGACCCTCTGTTGCTTTTTACAGATTCAGACTAACACGGCTACCCCTCTGATACTTGACAAGCTGAGATGATGTCAGTCCCCCTTTGGTTCCAACACCACCTGCTCTGTGCTAGGACCTCCTGTGGTTCTGGGGTGGGTGGGTAGGAGGGAGGGAGGGAGGCAGCTATGCCAGCTCTGCAGCTTCCACAAACACGGCTTCCTGAACCTGGGATATCCCTAAAACAGCCTTTGCAACCCCCTTTGCACTGGTCAAAGGTGGGTCTCAGTACTACAGTGAGTATCCTCCCACTGTCTTCCTATGTGCCTAGCACAATGGTGCACTGATCCTGGTTGGAGCTTCTGGATGCTACCATAATCCTAATATTAAATACAAATGAATAATAATAATGAAAACAAAACTCAAAACTTTATTGTTATTCCTTGATCAAATTGTTTAGATGCAATAGGTCATTAGACAGTGTGTTTTATACATAATTATGTCTTCCAATTGATTTCTTATATTTGTGCACATCAGAGAGCTGATTTTCCCACTGTCTTACAACAATTTTATGTTGCAGTACTTGAACTGATTTGAATGGAATTGCACTGGCATAAAATTGGTATAGCACAGTGGAGAGTCAGACCCGAAACACTGTATCTAAAATAATTTGGGCATTAGTCATATGAAGCCAGTAAACCAGATCTTACCTCACAGTTTTCCTGTATCCTTTCTATTTTTGTAGATTTTGGAATAGTGACAATCCCATTCTGAAAAATGTAATAATTTTCATCATTAAAAATAAGAGTTATTTAAAACAAAAACAGAATCAATTTTCAAAACATCTCTTAGAGCAATAGTTTAACCTACGTTTCCTTCTGAGACTTTGATTCTACTCTTCAAATTCACTGGAATTTCTGTGCAGCACTATTTATAATCACAGTTACATACACTATATACAATTCTAACACACTTTACATGGTTTTCCGTTCAGTATCAAACATTAATTCATATTCACTGGTTAGTGCTATATGTTGAGAGAAAGGAAAAGAACGATGAAACTCACTGACTGTAGCATTTATATTGGAAAAATAACTCTTTTCATTTGTATTTCCTTTTACTTTGCTAAAACCAAAGATTATTTCAATGGTAAAGATACTGTCATGTACAGCCTAGTATATTCCCACTACCCAGTAAAAGCACTTAGTTCATGGGACGACAGCATCAGCAGATCAGATGTAAAATCACAATTTTCTGTATATGTTTTGGTTTGATGCACAACAAATATATTATCTGAACAGAACTATTCCTTTACATTTACCTCTTTAAATAGACACCATTATCTTGCTGCCCTCTCTTACCTGTATGCTCCAACGTATACAGATCTGTGCAGGGGTTTTGCCATATTTCTTTGCCAGCTGAATTATATTAGGATGAGTAAGAGCTTCACCTTTGGCTAATGGGCAGTAGCCTTCAAAAACAATGTTTCTACCTCTACAATAATCCACCAGCTCTTGGGGCCTTTGGAAAGGGTGATATTCAACCTTTGATAAGCAAGCAGAAAATCTAAGTAAAAACTTTGATTAGAATGTATTTAAACGACAGTTTTCTCTTTGATAGTAAAAATATGATTGACCTTTCTTTTTTTTTAAATATAATAGAACGACCATGAGTGGAACCACAGTACTGCTGTAAAATATATATATAGCCTTCCATCATCTTTAGAAGACAGTAAGAGGGAATTAATGCACAAACATCAGTGGCTCTACATCAGTGGCTCTCAAACTTTTCTACTGGTGACCCCTTTCAAATAGCAAGCCTCCGAGTGCGACCCCCCCTTATAAATTAAAAACACTTTTTAATATATTTAACACCATTATAAATGCTGGAGGCAAAGCGGGGTTTGGGGTGGAGGTTGACAGCTCACGACCCCCCATGTAATAATCTGGCGACCCCCTGAGGAGTCCTGACCCCCAGTTTGAGAACCCCTGCTCTACATTAACTTACACAGCAATTTTCCTGAATATATTAAGGCCCCTTTCCTTGTGATCATGCCATGTAAAATAGCTGCTTCTCCATGCGGCAACTGGAGTTGCACTCCTGTTCACCTGGAACTGATATTGCACAGTATTCTTGAGGAGGCATACAAGTGGTAACACAGAAGGGAAGAGCCCCAGATCTATGCATATGTAGTGGTGACTTAAAGCCCCCTTTGCTTTCCCCCATTCCACCTCCTTGCCTCATTTCCACACATTTAATCCTCTTTTTAATGACACACAACTGAAGGGAGCATAGAAGTCTCCTATCAAAACAGAATACCTAGCACCAGGGCTTGGAATGTCAGAGTGAATGCAATGAGCATTGAAATTGTTGGTGCATAGGAAAACCCTATATTATATGTTAATGGGGTGTCAGAGAGAAAAGGTGGTGGGTAACAAGGAGAAGTGCTGAGACTAGGTTTTCAGGGTGCCCAGGCTAGGGATGAAGGTCACAGATTGCCAATAACCCGTAACTGGCTGGTGGAGAGAGGAAGAGTAGTAAGTATCTGAGAGACAGTGGTATAAAGGAAGGGGAGGATGAAGGGTTAAGGAAAGAGAAGCCCTTGGATAAACAATCAAACTTTTTGCTGCCCACCTAGCCAAACTGAATGTTTGAAGGTTCATCCCTATAAGGTTCATCTTTGAAAAGTCATGGATGATAGGAGAGATTCCAGAGGTCTGGAAAAGGACAATATAGTGCCCATCTATAAAAAGGGAAATAAAGACAATCCGAGGAATTACGACCAGCTTAACTTCACTACCTGGAAATATAATGGAGCAAACAATTAAGCAATCAATTTGCAAACACCTAGAGATAATAAGGTGATAAATAACAGTCAGCGTGGATTTGTCAAGAACAAATAATGTCAAACCAACCTAACAGCTTTCTTTGACAGGATAAAAAGTCTTGTGGATAACGGGGAAGCGGTAGATGTGGTATATCTGGACTTTAGTAAGGCTTCTGATACGGTCTCACATGACCTTCTCATAAACAAACTAGAGAAATACAACCTAGATGGAGCTACTATAAGGTGGGTGCATAACTGTTTGGAAAACCATTCCCAGACAGTAGTTATCAGTGGTTCACAGTCAAGCTGGAAGGGCACTGAGTGGGGCCCCACAGGGATCAGTTCTGGGTCTGGTTCTGTTCAACATCTTCATCAACGATTTAGATAATGGCACAGAGAGTACACTTATAAAGTCTGTGGACGACACCAAGCTGGGAGTGGTTGCAAGTGCTTTGGAGGACAGGATTAAAATTCAAAATGATCTGGACAAACGGTCTGAAGTAAATAGATGAAAGTCAATCACAACAAATGCAAAGTATTCCACTTAGGAAGGAACAATCAGTTGCACACATACAAAATGGGAAATGATTGACTAGGAAGGAGTATTGCAGAAAGGAATCTGGGGGTCCTGGTGGATCACAAGCTAAATATGAGTCAACAGTGTAACACTGTTGCAAAAAAAGCAAACATCATTCTGGGATGTATTAGCAGGAGTGTTGTAAGCAAGACAAAAGACAGTTACTCACCTTTGTAACTGTTGTTCTTCGAGATGTGTTGCTCATATCCATTCCAATTAGATGTGTGCATGCCGTGTGCATGGCCATCGGAGAATTTTTACCCTAGCAACACCTGGTGGGTCGGCTGTGAAGCCCCCTGGAGTGGCACCTTCATGGCACTGGATATATACCCTGGCCAATCCAGCGTCCCCTCAGTTCCTTCTTGATGGCTACTCCGACAGAGGGGAAGGAGGGTGGATTTGGAATGAATATGAGCAACACATCTTGAAGAACAACAGTTACAAAGGTGAGTAACCGTCTTTTCTTCTTTGAGTGCTTGCTCATATCGATTCCAATTAGGTGACTCCCAACCCTTACCTAGGCGGTGGGGTCGGAGTGAAGTACCATGGATTGTAGGATCGCCCTACCAAATGCTGCATCGTCTCTGGCCTGTCTAACGATGGCATAGTGTGATGCAAACGTATGCACTGAAGACTAAGTAGCAGCTCTGCAGATCTCCTGGATTGGCACCAGGGCCAGGAAGGTTGCCGACGAGGCCTGAGCCCTTGTTGAGTGAGCGGTGAGATGGGGGTTCAGGACCCCGGTCAGATCATAGCAAGCATGAATACATGACGTGATCCAAGAAGAGATCCGCTGGGAGGAGACTGGAAGACCTTTCATTCGGTCTGCTACCACAATGAAGAACTGCGTCGTTTTCCTGAACGGCTTCGTACATTCAATGTAGAAGGCAAGAGCCCTACGAACATCGAGGGAGTGAAGCCGTTGTTCCTGACTATTGGCATGAGGTTTTGGGTAGAAAACCGGGAGGAAGATATCCTGGTTGATATGAAAAGTCGATACCGCCTAGGGAAGAAAGGCAGGGTGAGGTCGTAGCTGCACCTTATTCTTATGGAAGATCGTGTAAGTTGGTTCCGATGTAAGAGCCTTGAGCTCAGAGACACGCTTCGCCAAAGTGATAGCCACGAGGAAAGCTGTTTTCCAAGAGAGGTACAAGAAAGAACATGTGGCCAAGGGCTCAAACGGGGGTCTTCTAAGTCTGGAGAGGACCAGGTTAAGGTCCCACATGGGTACAGGCTGTCATACCTGCGGATATAGACAGTCCAGGCCCTTGAGGAATCTACCAACCATGGGGTCGGCGAACACAGATCGGCCATTCACTCCCGAGTGGAAAGCTGAGCTGGCCGCCAGGAGAACTCTAATGGATGATATCGCCAGACCCTACTGTTTCACGTTCAGGAGATAGTCCAGAATGAGAGGCACAGACACTTGGAGGGGAAGTGTGTCGTGGTGAGAGCACCAGCATGAGAATCGCTTCCATTTAGCCATATACGTAGCCCGAGTGGAAGGTTTCCTGCTGCCCAACAGGATCTGTTGTACCAAACGAGAACAGAGGAGTTCAGAGTGGCTCAGCCATGAAGCATCCACGCCATGAGGTGGAGGGACCGCAGGTAGGGGTGACGGAGGCGGCCTGATCCTGCGTGATCAGGTCCGGAAAGAGAGGCAGCGGAATCGGGGCGTGCACCAAGATCTCCAATAGCATGGTGTTCCAATGCTGTCTGGGCCACGCCGGGGCGACCAGAATCAGTCGTGATCTGTCCCTGCGTGTCTTGAGCAGGACCTTGTGTACGAGGGGAAACGGTGAGAAGGCGTAGAACAATCAGCTCATCCATGGGAGTAGGAAAGCATCTGTGAGAGAGTCTGGGGAGTGACCTTGGAGGGAGCAAAATGCCTGGCATTTCCGATTGCTGCGTGAGGCAAACAGGTCGACCTGGGGAAACCCCCACTTTAGGAAGATGGAGTGGATGACATCCGGACGGAGTGACCACTTGTGGGCGTGGAAGGATCTGCTGAGGCAGTCCGCCAATGTGTTCTGGACCCCTGGGAGAAAAGACGCCACCAGGTGAAAGGAGTGGGCTATGCAAAACTCCCACAGTTGAATAGCCTCCTGATAGAGGGGGGAGGAACGAGCCTCCCCTTGCTTGTTGATGTAGAACATGGCCGTGGTGTTGTCTGTGAGGACCACCACACAACGACCGTGCAGCCGCTCTTGAAAGGCTTGACAAGCTAGATGTACTGCCATCAGTTCCCATATGTTGATGTGGAGAGAGAGTTTGGACAGGGCCCACAGACCCTGTTTCTGATTGTCCCCGAGATGGGCGCACCATCCCAGGGCTGACGCATCCGTAACAAGGGACAAGGAGGGCTGAGGGGTGTGGAAGGGGACTCCTTCGCATACCGCCTCTGGGTCTAGCCACCAGTGGAGGGTGGTCAGGACCCTCTCCGGGACGGTGACCACCAGGTTCAGGCTGTCTTAACCTAGGCGATAGACCGATGCCAGCCAGGCTTGAAGTGGGCGAAGCCTTAGTCAGGCATGCCTGGTGACGTATGTGCAGGAAGCCATGTGTCCTAGAAGACTCAAGCACGTTCTTGCCATCGAGGTTGGGAAGGTTTGAAGGCTCCGGATGAGGCCCGACAAAGCTTGGAAACGAGCGTCCAGCAGGAGGGCTTGAGCGTGTGCAGAGTCCAGGACCGCCCCGATGAATTCTATCCTCTGAGTCGGTTCTAGCGTCGACTTCGCCACATTGAGAAGGAGGCCTAATCGACCAAACGTGTCCATGACAAACTGAATGTGGGACTGCACCTGCTCTTTGATGCGCCCTTGGATGAGCCGGTTGTCGAGATACGGGCATACCTGAATTCATCAACAATAGAGGAAGGCTGTCACTACTGCCATACACTTGGTCAACACCCTGGGGGCGTAGAGAGGCCGAACAGAAGGACCGTAAACTGATAGTGTTCGCGGTTGACCACAAAGCGGAGGAAGCGTCTGTGTGCTTGATGGATCACTATTTGGAAACACGCGTCCTTCGTGTCGAGAGTGGCGTACCAGTCTCCAGGGAAGGTATAATGGTGCCCAAGGAGACCATGCAGAACTTCAACTTTACCATGAATTTGTTGAGTCCGCCTAGGTCCAGGATAG